AAAAAAAACTACTGGAACTAATAAAGAGGTTCAGCAAAGTGGCAGGATACAAGATCAACATACAAAAACCAGTTGGATTCCTCTACATCAAAAAAGAGGCCTCTGAAAAGAAATAAGGAAAACAATACCATTCATATTAGCTAGCAAAAAGATAAAATATCTGTGAATAAATCTTACCAGAGACACAAAAGACTTATACAAAGAAAACTATAAAACACTACTATAAGAAACTATAAGGGATCTATGTAAATGGAAGAACTTGCCTTGTTCATTGATAGGAAGACTGAATATTGTGAAAATGCCAATACTGTCCAAAGCAATCTACACATTCAATGCAATCCTTATCCAGATTACATCAGCATTTTTTAAGGATATGGAAAAACCAATTACTAACTTCATATGGAAAGGAAAGAGACCTTGGATAAGCAAAGCACTACTGAAGAAAAACAACAATGTGCGAGGTCTCACACTCCAGAATCTCAAAACCTACTATACAGCCACAGTAGTCAAAACAGCATGGTATTGGTACAATGATAAAGACAGACCAATGGAACAGAATAAAAAACCCAGAAATAGACACATCCATCAGTGGACAGCTGGTCTTTGACAAAGGACCAAAAGTTATAAAATGGGGAAGAGATAGCCTCTTTAACAAATGGTGCTGGCAAAACTGGATATCTACCTGCAGAAAAATGAAACAAGACCCATACATCACCACACACACACACACACACACACACACTCACACACACACACACAAACTCAAGTTGGATCAAAGACTTAAATGTAAAACCGAAAACTATAAAGCTCATCAAAGATAAGATAGGGGCAAATCTAGGAGCCCTAATTGATGGCATAAATAGACTATCAAGCATAACCCAGAATGCACAGGAGGTAGAAGAGAAGCTAAATGACTTGAACATTTTAAAAATTAAATTCTTAAGCGCATCGAAAGACTTCATCAAAAGGGTAAAAAGAGAACCTACAAATTGGGAGAAAATATTTGCCTGTGACATATCTGGCAAAGGACTTATCTCCAAAATTTATAGAAAACTTCAATACCTCAATGCCAAAAAGACAAACAATCCAATTCAAATATGGGCAAGGGACATGAACAGACACTTCAGTAAAGATGATATGCTTGTAGCCAACAAACACATGAGGAATTGCTCATGATCATTAGCCATTAGAAAGATGCAAATCAAAACACCAATGAGATATCATTTCACTTTAGCAATAATAGCAAAGTTCGACAAGACAGAAAATAACAAATGCTGACAAGGTTGCGGTGAGATTGGAACTCTCTTACACTGCTGGTGGGACTACAAAATGGTACAAGCATTATGGAAAATGTTATTGCATTTCCTTAATAAACTGAAAATAGAAATACCATTTGAACCAGCAATTCCATTACTAAGAATATATCCTAAAATGATGAGAGACAAGACATGAACAGACATATGCACACTCATGTTCATCACAGCACAATTCACTATAGCAAAGAGATGGAAACAACCTAAATGCCCATCAACACATGAATGGATAACCAAATTATGGTGCATTCACACAATGGAATACTATGCTACATTAAAGACTAATGAAGAATATGTGAATCATCTGACAAAGTGGATGAATCTGAAGGACATTATGCTGAGCGAAATAAGTCAACTGTAGAAGGACAAATATTGTATGAACCCATTACTGAAGGGTTTGGTTAGGGAAGGGAACTCACATTGTAGGTTACCAGGGATGGGAGGGAAGGGAAGGGGAAATTTTTGGACTATTTGGGGGCCACACACTGAGTTGGGTAAGGGGAGAGATGTTATGGAAAGAGTCTGTGACCAGCATGATAACATTGGGGAAAGGGAGGACACAGAATTGTGCACATAAGATATAGATGACAGACGCTAATACCAGTATATCTACAATACTGCATTACCATTCACACCAAACACCAGGCTACAGATAAACACATAGATAACTGAGAAGATCAGATGAGGTTCAGTGAACAGGATTATACTCTAGACCAATGACTGATTCAGCTGATGCTAATCTTACACAGATAGTAATGACACAAAATGACTGCAATC